GTTAACGCATTTAAGTTTCAAGTTCGCTTTTTCGGCGTAAAGTACACATAAGGTGTCCCAAAAGCACCGGGACTTGTTCTGTAACTTCGAAAGTAAGATAGATGCAGACATGATCTTGATCTCATTTTAAACATCAACTCAATACCCATCGATTAAAACCAAAATCAGCTCAATCGGATAAAAATTGACCGAGTTATGGCAATTTGAAATCAGCGAGGAAAGTTTACGCCTACGGTTTTTAAGGAAGATTCTTCATCGCCGTAAATCGAAAAGTCGGCCGATAAAGTGATGCTTATTGTGTTTTTTTATTTTCGAGGTGTCATTTATCAACATTTTGTACCATCAAACACAACAGTTGACAGTGCGTATTATTGCAAAGTACTAAAGGAGTTGAGAATGCACATTTCCCGGAAACGGTCGGACTTGAAAGCTTCGTGGATACTCCATCAAGACAATGCGCGGCCTCACACATCGAGCTTAACACGTGAATTTATGAGTAAAAATGGAGTTGAAACAATCCCTCATCCCCCTTATAGCCCTGACTTGGCTCCATGTGATTTTTGGATGTTTCCTACGCTTAAAAAGGAGCTTCGCGGACGAAGATTCGTATCGAAGACCGAAATCCAGAATGCAATTCAAAACTTCTTCAACTCCATCCCAGAGGAAGAATTCAGGAAAACAATGTTGGATAAGTGGCAAGAGCGCATGAAAAAGTGCATCCGGTTTGATGGACGGTACTTTGAAAAGCAAAAGGAAGTTATGGAAGATTCGGAGGAAAGTGGATACGAATATTAACTTTTTGAATCCTGGTAAGCGAAAAATCTTCCTAAAAACCGTAGGGGTAAACTTTCCTCACTAATTTCAAATTGTCATAACTCGGTCAATTTTTATTCGATTGAGCTGATCTTGGTTTTAATCGATAGGTATTGAGTTGATCTTTAAAATGAGACCAAAATCATGTCTGTATCTATCTTACTTTTGAAGTTACAGAACCAGTCCCGGTACTTTTGGGACACCCTACGTATGATATTTTTACTCTACACATATGCCCGAATACGCATCATAAGGGACCTATGTGCTTCCTAAGTTGCCAAGTATTAATTATTGTTAGATTATTGGTCTAAAACATTCAATACAACCAGTAAAAATTAGCTGTCCCCTACGAGATTCGAACCCCCGCTCGCACAAAAAGTGACACTCTCCCAGAGGCAGAAAGGTAACGCAGCCATTTGAGCTATTTCGCTGCTCAGATATGCATGGAGAAAAAGAGAACACTTAAGTGATCTCGGACGCTGAGCGGGGCTTCACAAAAGACGTCCTTGAGATTTCAACGGTTCGGCCACTGGCGTGATAAGACACAACGGATCAACCGCATTACTCTGTGAGACATTGTTTACCTATGCTGTCATGTGTCACGAGGTTCATATCAACAGGCATTTGCGATCGCGGCAGTAAGCTCAGGCAATATTTCTGTATTCATGGATTAAATCCATCAATCGAGTTCTGATTTTGGCTCATATATCCGTAACGGGTCCTCCAGAGCAATTTTCCACCTTGTACGATGGTTATTATTTCTTTATATCTATGTTTAAAATTTGAGGTGGGATAATGGCGGCTTCTCAAGAGCAACGAGGTAGGCGATCTTTTGCACCAACGAACAGAAAACTGATGGCGAAAAATAACCAATCAGAACCTCCCAAAAAAAAGAATTTGCCTAAAAACGGAACTTCGTGGTTCTGCGCAGATTTACCAGTCAGACACGACATCTCAAGGTGGAAAAAAACTCGCTGAAAGCGAATTTTAGCAATCAACACAACTTGACGTAGAGACATGATTGGCTAAAAAATACAACGGTTTTTGATACATCGGAAAATCAACCAAAAATCGGAGACTGGGCGAAACGCTCAACGTCGCAGAGGTATAGGGAATCCCATAGCGAAAGCAACGGAACGATTGTAATATCATGGGGAACTCCGTTCCCATGACAAAAATGTATTACTTATTTAATCACGTTCAGCCTTATTCTGTAGTTGGAATTGTTTATTTATCGAATCGATGGTTTCCTCTATCTCCCTGCAACGGCAGTGGTGCCTGACAGTACCGAGATATCGATATTGTATAGAGATCAAGAGCAATGGATCTAGGCCCCTCACCAAAACTACTCATCGGACCGCTTGAGTGATTCGGTAGCTTTAAATTTCGATATCTCGTTACTGTCGGTCACCACTGCCGTTGCAGAGAGATAGAGGAAACATCGATTCGATTAATAAACAATTCCAACTACAGAATAAGGCTGAATGTGATTAAATAAGTAATACATTTTTTTTGTGATTGCGGTGGCGGTTTCCATGAAAACTGGCAACTCCGCCTCAACGCGAATTCCGACGGAAATTAGGCAATGTTGTCAACACCATGTCGCAAATGGTCAGTTTAGGTTAACAAATGTAGCTGGATAAGATTAAATGAGTACTACTTTAAATTGTGATCCCAGCGGTGGTTTTCATTGAAAACCGGCAACACCGCCGCTACTTGAATTCCTAAAAATCATGTGAAAGTTTCAAAAAAGCGCATTCGCGCGCAAAGTTATTTTAAATAATTACAAAAATTACAAAAATGGCCATAACGTGGCAACAATGGAGTCAAATTAAAATTTCTTTGGCATAGGTCGATAGAACGTAATTTTTTGCATCTTTTGGTATAAATACGAGCTCTGTAACTGCATTTCTGCGAAAATTATGGATGTTTGAAGGTTACGACTTTAAAAAATGACAACGCTGTTTCCCTGGGGCTCCTGCAAAAACGGAGCTAGGGATACCTAAGCCTCTCTCAACTAGTACTATCAGCCCACAAAGTTTCGTACATTCCGGGCTGGGTACATTTTTCGCCTATATGAATAACCCTCTTTTTGGTCATATTTTCAAAATTTAAAAATCCAACATAGCAGTCGTGGCCAAAGAGGCGAAGATGTAGGTAGTCCTCTCATTGCTCGCTGTGCGAGCTGTGACGCCTGGCCGGGGAGTGCCCCTGGACCCCCGGTTCTTCGCTTCGCGATGAACTTGCAACTCGTTCCGCGAGCCGCTCCTCTTAGCTATATTAACTTTTAAAAGAACGAATTGCCTTTTTTTAACGAAGTGGTGAATAGTGGCGGAGATGTTATCTTTGACTGGGGCCGCCATCTTGGATTTTGGAATTTTGAGAATCTGACCTAAAATTCGAGTTTCCCGCCGATAAGTACCCCTGATTACCAAGTTTCACGTAAATCCGTCGATAAATACCCCCTAAAACCTGAGATTTCAACAATAATGCTATGACGTCACGCGACAGGATTGAAACTGTTCAGCGCGGTTCGTGTAAACAACCGCGTATCCCTAATGCATTAGTATAGGGAGAAACAGTTTTTTTTTTTTTTTTTTTTGGGGGGGGGGCTTTTGCGGGATATTTTTCTAAATTTGATTTTTCAGGCATGCAGCGGTGGTTCTGAGCTTCATTTTTGCCAAGTTTGAAGGAATAAATATAATTAATAAGGGGCGGCTCGCGGAGCGAGTTGCAAGTTCATCGCAAAGCGAGGAACCGGGGATACAGGGGCACTTTTCGGGGGGGACAGCTCGCATAGCACGCTGATCATGGATAGTTAGTATTACTGGTTGTCTTTTTTCACGCAGTGGCGGTTGACTTTTAGGTTGCATGATTTTGCTCACCGGAAGTGATCCATACTTCAAGGCAAACTTCAACCGATGACTTTCCTTACAATGTGTGCCATTTTGAGAAGGACTGTTTTGTGGAGTGTTGTGATGTTATGCTTCCGTAAGATTTCCTCAATAAATTTTGCTGCACTTTTTGATGTGGCTCCAGCTGCTCCACTATATAGCATGAATAAAATAAAATATAAAACAAAACAAAATACGGAGTTGCAAAACTTGGCCACTACCTACAGGTGTATCGATAGAATATTACATTTTAATTTAAAATTTTATGCTATAAAATTTCCTGATCAAGGACGAAACCATCAACTTTAATTAGAGTCGGGGTTTTCAATGTCAAACTGTATCTATTCACCATTGATCAGACGAGAGTGCGTATTATCATTCCAGTATTCCAAACATGGCTGAAACAACTCACTTTTTACAAAAAAAGAATGTGCATACCTAGTATAATCTCTGTCAAGAATTTTGCTGACTTTATCATATTGTTAGAATAGAAATGAGTATCACTTCTCGCAAAAATGCCCGGCGCTTTTTTCCTAACTTACTTACTAATGGCACTACAGCCCGGGGTGGGCTTTGGCCTTCAAAACGACGCGTCTTCATCCTACTCTGTCCTCAGCCTTTTCCTTCCACCCTATCACTTTCATAACTCAAAGATCTTTCTCTACCTCATCTTGCCATCTTAGCCCTGGCGTTCCTCTCCTTCTCTTCGATAGAACTTTGGCTTTCATGATTTTCCCCGGCATTCTGTCCTCCTCCATTCTGCTATAACGTATCCTAACCATTGAATGCTTTGCGATTTAATGAATCGAACTATATGCCCAGCGCTTTTCTGGTGGAGATAAAGTAACGACTTAGGTTATTGCAATTTGAAATAATGTGAAGTTTATAATTCGAAAATGACGTAATTAGGCACTCCATGATTCGTAACGTAGTCCTATATATTATCATAATCACACCTCGATTTTCATACGTCCTGTCATATTCTCACTATTACCTACCCTTTCCTCGTAAAATTGAAAATTCCAGGGATGATTAGGGCATTGGTACCCATGAAAATGAAAATCCGACCCGGAACTTATCTACGATCTATTACCTATCCTAAGATTGGCGACAAAATAACCTACTACGGAGACTCTCAAACACACTGATATTAGGCTTGACGACAGGATTGTTTGCTCTGTCTTGCATGGAGTAATCTTGGACGGCTGATCCATCGCTACCTCGTTTCGTTTCCTGTCTCGCGGAGTCGCGTGAGAAGTGAATAATGCAAGCTTTTGGCTTTGCTCTCCACAGATATTTAAACCGAGCCACACAAGAGCTCCCGGCCACCTCGACTTGCTTGGCGTTCGACGACGAGATGGACACCGCCTCTGGAGCATCTGGCGAGGAGCTTTGGGGCACACCTACCAGTGGACCCGATTCCGAGATCACCTCCCCCCCTCCGGAGGTATTTTCTTACCATCAATGTATTTATTTTTAACTGTCCCTCAAAGGAGAAACCTGTGTTGACAAACCTCAGAATGGGTCAGTTGCGCTGGTCACAGAATTGTGTTTTGATGCTTGATTCTAGTAAATTAGCTAAAAATGTCAGGTATGATCCGTCCAAACCGCAACTTCCTACGTTCAATATTAACCGAGATATCGCGCTTTAAAAAGTCGGGTTGTTGACGTCATTCACCGCGGCGCGATAGTGACACGCTTCTCGGTTTTATCAGTCAGAGAGACACACATTAGAACTGGTTACTCTACGTGAACGCGTATGCGAAAGCAAGGTGGAAGAAACCAAGGGTGTCACTGCTGCGGTGGATTACGTCAAAAACCCAACTTTTCAAAAAGCGATATCACTCAATTAAAATTGAACGTAGAAAGTTGCGGTTTTGGACAGATCTTAATATTTTTAGCTAATCTACAAGAGTCAAGCATCAAAACACAACTCTGTGACCAGCGTAAATGACTCAGCCGCCAGCCTGATTGAGGAGCATTCCGGAAAAGGGGCACATACGCGTATGTGCCCTTTTTTCAAGAAATGAGAGAAATGGATTCCTAGCATCCTAACATGGCAATGTCCCGAGTTTCAGCTTAATTAATTGATTTTTTAGCCAAGAGGCCACGTTTTGTGAGGCTAAGTCAGCGGTCACAGCCGTATTTCATCTATTTGCCTCTGGGTACGGTAGCCGCGACGTTGAGGAGATAGCGCGCAGGGCGCCACAGTGGGAAAAACAGCCGATCTAGCGCCGAAATAGTCGGAAAATCGACATCAATGAAAATGGTCAAAATTGGTATGTATGTGTTCCTGAGGATCTACTGATCAAGAATCAGTCATGTTTTACTTCATACGGTCGATTTTATCGATGATAATCATTAGTAACGCACCGGATAGCGCAGTGCTGGTGGAGGACCGCCTCTGAGAGTTTACATTCAGTAGCCTCGTATGTACCTACGTTGAAGTGCGTCATGTAGTTACTTTTGATTTTTTTTACAATAACTGACCTTTCTAAAATTAAGGATACCATTATTATCTCTTATATACACTGTTTTGATCTACAGCAATTTTTTAAAGTTAGCCTCCGAAGAAGTCACAAATTCAAACTTCTAAAGACTGCATCTTCTAAGATTCACACAGATCCAAGGAGATATTTATATTTACGTACTCGTCATACTATCAAGATTACAAAGATCCTTGGTTGAAACCAGCCTTCATGAGCCTTTCAGAGATATTCGAAGAAATCTAGAGATGTGCTCAGAATGAATGTGAACCGTTGGGTTTGGCGTCAGATCACAGAGTCGCATGGGGAGAATGCGTATGCGCAGTGCGCTGCGCGCGCAACTCGGGCAACGAGTGCTTATAAACAACTGTTTCAGCGCTACTTGCAGAGCTGAAACGATGGCCTAGTTGGTACGGTCACTCACTCCTATTTTGAATGTTGTGAGTTCGATCCTGCCCGGAGGAGAAAATTTATTAATTAACTCCGGGCATATTTTCAGTTTTACTTGACACTTACTGCACTAAAAAATGGTTTTACTTCACATTAAGTCTTGAGGAGAAAAACATTAGATGCATTGAGCGAAAGGAATTAATTGCCAACATTTCCGAATAATGACAATACTTCACTTTAAGTATACCTTTATGAAAATAATGTGTATTGGTAAAATGACAATATGGATTTCCACTATTACCTATGAACATTTCCTATTTTAGAACACTTCCCCTGGTAAAAATAAGCCATACAAATTACCTATAGCCCGGCCATAGGAAAAATCCTATGGTAAATTGAAACATGGCCTTTTGGCGATTGGAATTTTCTATAGCCGGCGATTGAGAATTCCTATGGCTGGCTGTAGGAATTCTCAATCGCCGGCTATAGAAAATTTAGGGGTTCGCAGCTAGGGAATGGTGGAAAAGGGTTAATTGTGGAAACAAATTTTGAAACCATGAAAAATAAGAATAATGAAACTACTGGGACGTAATTTACCCGATTTTGAAGATTAGAAATTTTTACCTACCTTAGGGATTGAACCCGGGACCTGCCTAACACAAACCGAAGACCCTAACTATTAAGCTATACCAGATGCTGCCTTTATTTGACGCAAAACCGATATTTAACGTCGATTTGAACGGGAAACTAGGATATTTTCAATCTGCCTGGATTTGTCCGTGTATTTATTTTACTTTTTACTTTACTATATTTTTTAAATTTATTTTATCGTTTTACTTGATTTATTTCCTTGCTGACTCTATTTTTTTCTTCACTCTATTTTATTTTTTCAAGTACTTCATTTTTTTTCTTAAATTATTTACTTCTTATTCCCTTATTTTGTTTTATTTTTTACTGTAATTTATTTAATTATTTTAATACTTCATCATGTTTACTTTTTAAATTCATTCTATTCTTTAACCTCATTTAGTTTCTTCCCTTATACTTTATTTTTTCTTCACCTCATTTTTTTACTTCATCTCCTTGCTCCCTCTAATTTTTTACTTCAATTTAGTCTTTGACTTCATTTTATCATATATTTAATTTACTTTATTTGATTTCTCTTCTGTTGTCTCTGTAATTCTATTATTTCTGCTACTCTATTATTTCCACTATTCTATTCTATTATTTACTTATTACTTATTTTTATTTTCTCTCTTTAAATTTTTCATTTTCATCGTTGGATTGGTAGGCCTAAAGGGAAGAAGAGACAGTATATAGCGCTAGTGCGAGAGAGAGATAGCCTAGGTGCGCTTGACTTAGGGCCCAACTGAAGCTCCGGTGCGGAGTGCTTTGCGCACTCATGCGACACATCTCAGCACCTATGCGCTGAATCTCACTCCCCTGTTCATTCTCAATCCGGATTTTCCGTTGGACGGAATCAACGATTTTTAACGGTGTATATGGCCGATTCAAATAAAAAAAAATCAAAATCAAATCAAATTTTGGAAAAGTAAGAATTATTGAGAAAAAATTGAAGAAAAATATTTTTAGAAAAGAAACCAGGATAGATTCACTGGCGCTTATGATGATTTTCGAAAAAAATTACTTTTATAATTGCCCCTCGTGCACACGCGTATTTCCAATCGCCGGATACTGAACATTCTGTTGCCGGCTACAGATGGCTGTTTTGGCAGCGGATGGTTATTGCCGTTATCCACAAGTGGCCAGCTATTGAATGTCCTATCGCTGGCTATTCACGGCTAACGCCGGCTGCAGGACGTTCTATCGCGGCCATTCGTGGCTATCGCTGGCTGTAGAACTTTCTATCGCCGGCTGTAGAACTTTCTCTCGCCAGCAATTCGTGGCTATAGCCGGCGATTGAACGTTCTATCGCTGGCCATTCGTGGCTATAACCGGCGATTGAACGTTCTATCCCCGGCCATTCGTGGCTATAGCCGGCGGTTGAACGTTCCATCGCCGGCCATTCGTGGCTATAGCCGGCGATTGAGCCTTCTATCGCCGGCCATTCGTGGCGATAGAGCTTTTTATCGCCGGCCATAAGGGCGATAAGAAAATCCTATCGCCAGCTATAAAAGCTATAGAAAATCCTACAGCCGGCCATAAGATTTCTCTATCGCCTTTATGGCTTATTTTTACCAGGGTCATGATAAATTAAGTGTTCGGAACTCAATTGTTATCTTAACAGGAATGAGAAAAAAAAAAATTAGGGAACGTGATTATCCGTTGATTGGTAATAGCTGTTCCACTGTGCAACGGTTTTTTTTATAGGAAATTTAAAATTTCAAGCGTGATTTTTCTCCTCATTTGCTCTTAATATTGAATACATGCCATTTACCTACTATGTCAATCTGATCTATATTCACATCTTTAGTAATACGATGCGGATTAAGTTCATTCTTACTCATAACTTCACCTTGAAACACTAACACATAGGCACACAAACTTTTCCAAAAAAGGGTGGGAAGTAAGATACTTGCACAGGACAATGAAAAAAGTAACCGACAATAGCGTAAACGACGAGAAATATTTTATTTTACTCTACTGGCTGATCAAATACCACAAACCAAAACAGTCTCTAGGAAAAGTAAATTATAGCTGATCCCATGACTAAATTTGGCTCAATAACTCTTGAATTTACAAAAAATCGGCGCATTGTTATTATTAGTGTATGATTAGATATACAGGGTGTCCCAAAAGTCCGTACCCCCCCTCGTAACTTTTGAACGGTTAGAGATAGAAAAACGAAACTTTGGGAATGTTTCTATCTTAAAGGGGTCATTCTTCAAAATTTTTGTCCCCCCCCCCCCAGGGGGGGCGCGGGGGCCTCCAACTTTTTTTTTTCAAATGGTAACCCCTATCTTGTGATACATCATTAGAAAGAGCATAAAAAACTAAGAATTTTGGCGCAAACCGCAAATCAATATCTTAATTTTTGACCGAGTTATGATAGGTCAAAGGTCAAATTTGACCTATTTTCAAAAAATCATATCTCCGGTTCAAATTATCGTAAAGAAAAAAATAAAACGGGAAAATTTACCAAATTGTAAGCTCTTTCAAGTAAAAATCACAGAAATTACTTCAAACTAATCCTAAGGGGGGTTTCGGACCCCCAAATACGTCATTTTGAAGGTCATACGGTATTCTCGCGAAATGAGCCAATTTCCCCTTACTTTTCCTCAACATTATCTTAGTAAGTTCAAAATTAGTTCAACATTGCGTTTTCAAGTCCCCAAATTTCGAACAAAGTTTTAAAAAAAATGAAATTTAAATGGTTGAATTGAATCACCTTAAATTTCGTTTTTTGAACTTTGCTCGAAATTTGGGGGCTTGAAAACGCAATGTTGAACTAATTTTGAACTTACTAAGATAATGTTGAGGAAAAGTAAGGGGAAATTGGCTCATTTCGCGAGAATACCGTATGACCTTCAAAATGACGTATTTGGGGGTCCGAAACCCCCCTTAGGATTAGTTTGAAGTAATTTCTGTGATTTTTACTTGAAAGAGCTTA